ACAGCAGGTGAACAGCTTTCCTATTTGTGTTATGTCCAAAGTGTTGTCAGCGTTGTGCCCGTTACCAACCCTAGTGATGGCAGCCTTTATTATTCACTGTTGAGATTGTACCCAGGCTACTATCACGCTGTTCGGAGTGGTTACATGCATGCTAAATAATCAACTCCCGTTAAAGCAGAAGTATATCATAATTATTTATCTCCGTCTAGAGCAGATGGATAGAAATTTGTTCAATATAAATAAAAACAGACATTGTTACATAATATTTTCCATTTCCCTTCTATTTGCGTCATCATTTAGTCAAACACTTGTCATCTTTTTGGGTCCCAGCCCATTAGTTTGCCTAGCTTTGCAGGGAGGAAGTAGCTGCTGACCTTCAAAGTTTGGCAAGATTTCATTCGCAGATATGTGAAACAGCTGAAGAACGTTACTTAAAAGACGATTCAATCACGAATCAAACTGAGTACAGACACTTGGAAAAAATCTCTCTTACAGTGCACAGCCTTTCAGTGATGTGAAAGGACTTCTATCCATTTCAAAGGTGAGACTTATACAGGGGAGGGAGTGAAAAAAGGCACCTGACAACAAATTGTTTGAACAATGACCTGTCTATGCAATCAGTTTTCTCATTGGAGATCATTTGCACCTGATGATTCCCTTCCTGGCTGCTGAACAGCAATCATTTCAATTCTGTAAACCACGGCTGCCAAAACAAATCACAAACCCCAGTTGACAGCATCGTCCTAATCCATGACTGGGATGCAGATGATGTGGCTGTTTCCTCTGAAGGTTTTTCAAATTCTCAGACACATACATAGTGACGTCAAAGGAGCCAGTGTGCTTTCAACACCCTCCTCCATATCGCATTTCACAGAGGCTGCAGATGACTATATGATCATAAATCAATGACTAGCTGCACAATAAAAAAAACAAAACAAAACCGTAGTGCTCTGATTCCAAAACAATTTCTGATAAAGACTGTAAATAATTTATAAATAATGATAAGGATAATATAATATAACAGAACAATCTTTCAAAGAGTTAAAAAAACAAAAACAAATTCAGAAATAATAAACCCTAAAGATTCTTTCTTTCATGAGAGAGAAAAGAGTAACCCAACCACATTCTTAAAGAACCAAAATGCAAATGCAAATCAAAAGGAGAAAACTGAAATTGGAAAGATGATACTGCTGAAGGACCAAAACACCTGCAAAACATAAGAAATTTATTGCACCATACTGACTGAGACAGTGATGCATCAATTAAGCAGGCTCTGTGAAACTACTTGGGAATGCAGATGGTGGAGGAAAAGTGCAGCTGTGTAAACCTGCCTCCAGTAAATTTCTTTGCCAGATTTCCTGAGAACTGTGGCTACAAAACGGGTATAGCTACAGTTATCCTAAATGATAATTACTTCTTAAATCATGAAAAACAGCAAGAGGGAGAAACACATCGACTGTGTTTTGTGGTTAAATCTATGATCGATTTAGAATTCAGGTTATTTTTTGCAGGTTTGCAGCCCTATTGTGTTGATTCTGCAATCTCAAGGAGAATTCCCTTTACAACAGAGTTAATATTTTATTTTTTTGTGACTAACAAAGAGAAATTATGCTCACCAACAATTAACCAGTGAAGTTTAGTTTTCGTGGTTCTCTAAATTTAAGTGAATTTGAATTTAATTTTTGTAGCCAGAGAAAAATCTGTAAGATTCAGACTCAGACAACTGGAGACCCGACGACCAGGTAGTCATTCTTGTTATACTTAGAACTTTGAAGTCTGCCTCCTGGTGCGCATGTGTAGCTGCTGCACTGTGATGTAATGTCTGTGGATGAGTCCATGTGATCACAAAAAACAGGCAGGCGTAAGGACATCTATATGGACCTTTGCATTCATCGTCTGAAATTACAGTTCCAGCTTTAGGTCCCAGTCACACAGGCCCAGAGACCGGTCAGCTACTCCCTGGCAGGGAGGACTAGGAAAAACATACATTCCTCAACCAGATGGCGACGGACTGCTGACGGTTGCTGGCAATCACTAAGTACTGCAACAAAAACCTCCTTGAGATTGCTTTGGTCATGAGCAGATTGCCTTGATTGCCCCTAGTTGGTGACTTGTCTGTAAACACTTTCTAACTACTCCGTAAGCATTTAAGATACAAAACCAGAAATGGAAACTGCTTGTGGTGACCGACTGAATTCTAGTCATGCGTGTCTGAGGCCTAAAGAAAGCAATCCAGTGTTGCTTTCCAGTGTCACCCTATTTCTTTTAAATAGTTGCATATTTGTATGAAAAATGTTGGCTTTTATTACACACTATGATAGCTCTAATATAAATCAGCTTAATTGCAATTCAATGGCTTCCACATAGTTATGCTAATGGGAACAGAACCTCATTATGGTACCAATTTCAGGAAAACCCTCAGAAATGGATTTTTAGAAGCTTTTAACTTCCATGTAAATGATCTACTGTACATTAGAAGAAATCTTGATAATCATGAGTTGTAATCTGTGAGTAACTAGGCAATACTTATATCTCTCTCTATCTCATATCTATATATATCTATATATATCT